GCAAAGTATACGTGCATATCATAACGCGGGAAAATGAGGAGAGATTTTGGAGAATATAAGAGCAAGGGAGACCATGTAGTACAATAATTGGAGGAAAGGATGAGAACGAATATGCAAGTACGAAATGAATCATTTGACTGTGCTATTTGGTTTAAACAGGAACATTATCATTGACGCTATGAACGTGTATTAAGACAGAGTAATACTACATCTATAAATATATGTGTATGTATATTTATATAATATTCTTGAAATTTCGCGACTTTCGCGACACTACTAAGATATACAAATGTAAGCATATTATAAAAAATGTGCAGTTTACTGGGAAGTTAATCCATCTTTCCTATGAAACTAATGAATCGTTTTTCTCACTTTTTGAATTTCAAGTTTTTATTTTATTTTAAATTGGAATTCTCACTAATTAAATGACAATTATGCTAATTATACGAGCTTTTATAATTTATTCGCTAATATTTTGATATATATTTAAGTTTTTTGATATATTTAAGGTAGGATTTTGCTGTCGTCTGATTATCGACAGTTGGAAATGCGAATGTTGGCACATCTGTCAGCTGATCCTCAGCTCATATCCCTGTTTTTAGCTCAGGGTGATTTTTTCGAAATTATCACGAATAGGTGGAATACCAACGAAATGTCGCATATTAAAGTAGATCGGAACAAAATAAAACAGGTTATTAGTTTTTTGTTGGAGTAAATTTGTACACTTATCCTTTGTCCAAATATGTTGCAACCAGATAATTTAATAAATTAAATTTTAGAAAAAAAAATTGAAAACTAAATTTCTGAAAAATAAAAATATTCTAGCTTAATTTTTCAGCTTTGTTATGGTATTATCTATGGTATGGGTGCTATGTCATTGAGTAAGGAATTGGGTATTCAAAAACAACATGCACAACAAATGATCATTTCTTTTTTTCAACAGTTTCCAAGTAAACTTTAAAAAATTATTTAATTGAATTAAAAAAGCAATTTTCATCAGTCCTGTTAATTTAATACAATACGGGTTTATTGTTATCACTGATAACTGAAAGCCACATTCGAAGGCATCATTTTCGCATTGATATAATTAGCTTTTTAAAGTTTTGTCCAGAATTAAAGTTCAGATAAAAATAAACAATTTCTTTCTCTCCAACAAAGTCACATTTTTTGCAATGATGGTTATGTATTTGCTATTTTCTTACTAATTTATTTTCATTTTATTCAATATTACTGAGGCAACGATTGTTATTGCAAATGGTAAATTTAAATCTTTCTATAAATGTTTCGCTTTTCTTTTTGCAGAAGTACGAACATGGATGGATAAAATAATAGCAGTATGCCGGATTGACGGATTCGTGAGTACCCTTTTAGGTCGTCGACGATTTTTGCCTCAAATAACCGGTATGATACAAGCAGAATCAGCTCAAGCTGAACGACAAGCTATCAATACTTGTATACAAGCAAGTGTTACATATAGTTTTTTATAAAACAGTATTTTTACACCTGGCTTATTTATTAAAGTAATATGACATAGCACAATTATCTGAGCTAGAGAATTTTGATGGACACAGGTTCTAGCTGTGAAACTTTTTCATTTTATGTTTGATTAGATAAGCCAAAATTTGAAACTTTACGTCATGAACTGATAAAAGTTTTTGGAATGAAATGTCATCTCGACATGCTTGATGGTATTTCAATATTGATCAGTTTTACTCAATTCTTGACGCAATTGATAAGTCTATTCCTTTCAGGAATCGAACTGTCGAGAGAAAGTTAATAGATAAAATTTATAAATAAATACTGTGTTCCCTGCCTCTTCACAGTACCACGTAGAGAATTTTGTCAGTTTTTTAGAACAACTTTTTTTTCCCCTTTTCAAAGACTATTTTTCAAATTGTTAAACGTATTTTGCAGGGTTCTGCGGCCGAACTGTTCAAGATGACGCTGTTAAATTTGCAGAAGAATTTATTAGGTTAGTTTTTTTTCCTTTTTTTAAAATTGCCGTAAGGAAAATGGAAATGGGAAATTGAAAAATGTAATCCAATGTATAATGCGCTCAACATATGTCAGCACATCAATAGTACCAACAGCACTAACCTTTAACGATTTGACTTCTTTAAAGTGTGGTTGAACATAGAACGCTTTGAAAGCCGGAAGATTTTTAAATAAATTGCAGATTGTTATATATTTCATTTTAGGTACAAATTCATTTATCGTTATGCAAATGCATGATGAAGTGCTGATAGAAACAGATGAAAGTTCGCTAGTTTCAACTGCTAAAATTATCAAACATTCTATGATATCAGTTATCCCAAATTTGCGAGTTCCACTGGCAGTTAGGATTTCATACGGTAAAAGTTGGGGGAAACTTCAGGAATATGTTGAGACCTGAAAATTTTAACTAGCTGTGAACCTATAGCAAATCACCACTCCCAAAAGTTTCGTCTTAGGAGAAAACCCGATTTCCCATCTATTTTTAAGATTATTTTGTCAAGTGTTATTCAAATCTCACTTTACTAATTGCTATCTACAATGCAATCTCATTTATTTCGAAAAGTGAAACAATTCCCGACATTCAACTTTTCGAATTTTTTATGATACGTTATAATTGCTTTGTTATTAGCAACATTTCCAAACGATGGATTATAAAACTGCAGAGGATGGTATATAGATCTTTCTCGAGAGAAATTAATAGTACTCCTTTCCAAAAAAAAAAAAATTTTCTCACATCTACAATTTCCCTTTCAAATACTGAGCAGGAAATTTTACTGATTAAATGATACCATTATCTATTACACAAATTTTATTATATTATTTGGTTTTTATTTTCGTTTGGCTCAGCGTATTCTTACCGATTCGTCAATTTAATTACTTGTTAAACTATCAACTTATGCTTATCTGATTGTTAATGATATATAATTTATACTTGACCGATTATCAATGATATGTGAATTGTATTTATTGAGTTTTCGGCGATAGTTTGTGCATATCTAATTGTCACTGATATTTAGTTTGACCTTATCTAATTTTTAATGATATATATATTGGTTTGACTTTATCCAATTTTTAATGATATATATTCAGTTTGTGTTTATTCGATTGTCAGTTACATCAGTTGTTGCAAAACAAATAAGTAATCATAGGAAGACACTTATCTATTGTGCACTGAAATTTACTTATTTCGTATTATAAATGCTCAAAGTCTGGATATTATTCGTTAGATTTTTCTATTTGATATTATAAAATATTTTTTTTAACTTGCCAATAACATTTTTTTGAAAAAAAGAATTCGACACTCGTGAACTTTTGCGACAAAACATATTTGTGGTATGGATTAGGAATACAAATGCATGAATCGAAACACAATATTCGCGAATGTACACCATTTCCTGTAAATGTATGATATGCCTAAAATGTCAGATAAGAAAATGAATTACTTTAATGAAATATTATGGAACAGAACAGACGTATCGATAGCGAAAGAGATTCATTGTATATCAAGAAGAATGAATGGAGTGTTTGATTATAAAACAAAAAAGAGATTATCAATACAGAGATTTCACGGAAATGCATAATGAAATACATAAAGGACGAATGGAACTGGGAAGTGATAGTTATAAGAGATGAAAAAATGAATTATTGTAATGAAACTATTAACACATTTATAATTAAAATATTTCATCAAAAAAAAAACTGGAAACATTATGATCGAAATCATTGAGAATGAAATAAACAGTGTTAGTTTACGTAGAACGAAGATTTGAAATTTGTTGCTTTGTCATAATAAGTGAAAAAAAAGAAAATAAAAACAATTAAGAAATTTGGAATACTCTAATATACGAGGAATAGACAGAATAAAACAATTTAGCACTTAGTGCTAATCGATGGCATAAATACATGATAGAAAGTAAGAAATCATGTTAGTCTTATACTAAGCTATACATCCTTCAGAACAAATATGCTAATTGTTGCATTTCATTTATTCTATTATTAGGGATCACACACGTTTTTCCTAGAATATAAAAAATCGAACTTCGGCAACTCAGATATCAGTTCGATCCTTATCACGATTACAAGTTTCAGAAACAGGAGTAACTAACAGGACCGGAATCAAGTAGGGAACAAAGGAGACGAAATCGCATGACCGCAAATAACTCCATATGGGCCAGTCGTTAATTAACAATCGGAGCGGGCTGTTTATATGCAACGGACCGTCTTGGCCCTATAAAAATTTGATACCTTGAAAGGATTTGGTGATGAGATTGGGTGGGTGTGGTTGGTTTCTTGATTGTAATTTTGTGTTTTGAATTTACTGTTATGATTAAGTAATGGTGCTATTTCATTTCTTCCGGAATCATGGTTCTTCGAACTCTTAGAATAATCGGGTGATATTTGAGTGGTAGCTTGGACTAGTGGAATAAACAGATGATATTTCAGTGATATTTCAAGAATGGAATAAACTTCCTGAGGCTTAGCATCTTGAAAATGTGATTCATCAAACGGTTATTATGATATTTCTTAGTACGACATTTAATTCAACTATATTCTAGCATTTTCACCTAAACAGGATATCTAGCAAAACGATAAAAAGATAGTTGGTATCAAATTATATGTCAAAATGAAGCTATTAATTTTATTCGGGAGTGTTCAACACCATATTATGATTTATTATTTCGTGAATTTCCTGATATTACAAGGTTTCTTGGAATTCTCAAATTTGAAACTGAAAAAGTGATAATGTCTGTTGCGAATCGTTTACGACGAATGCATAAGCAACCACCAGAAGGATGGGATTTGATTGAACCAACATTGGATGAATTCGAAGCGAAGATGCGTGAAGCAGAAACAGATCCTCATGAAGGGAAACGTAAGACAGAAACTCTTTGGCCTATCTTTAAGGTTAGCATTCGATGTTTTTGAAAAAGGAAAACAAGTAAGAAATTAAGAGAGAGAGGAGTTTACCAATGGCATATTCTACATATGATTAAATGCTGTACTTATGTGATGCAGTTGGTTAATACTCATATAACGTTATGCAAATTAGAATGATATCTATTTATATGATGGCATTTATGTGCAAAATTAAGAACACTGACCTTTTTCAGATACATCATCAGCGTTCGAGATATATTTATGATTTATACTATAAACGCCAAGTAATCAGCAGGGAATTATATCAGTTTTGTTTGGATACCAAATTAGCTGACGAGAAATTGATAGCGAAGTGGAAGAAACAAGGATATGAGAATTTATGTTGTTTACGATGCATCCAAACAAGGGATACTAATTTTGGCACCAATTGTATATGTCGTGTACCGAAGAGTAAATTAGATGTGGTTGGTGGACCGTTTTGATTTTATCATTTTTTCCTTTTTCTTCGAAATCTGTTTGAAAACACTAAACAAAAACTCTATTGCAGGCTAAATATTATATTTATCAAAAACCTAGAAAACTTTAATAATGTACTTGTAAGGATTTCAGCGATTTTACCTTGCGTAAGGTCTAAAACGGCTAAAAATGTTCATAGTTTACTCTTCAATTTTTGAAATTGACGGAGAGAGGGAAGGAGAGAACAATATGCTTTAATTTTGATTATTCGACATATTCTACTAACGATTGCACATTCCCATTATAGTTTTTATAACAACTCTGCATACTATGTTTCTCTTAGGAACTATGGTGAAAAGTTAGAACACGTAATTAAGTTTGATAATTGATTGTTGTATTATCATGAGTACTTATTTTTCTCGCAAGGAAGACTTTCTGAAATTCAAGCTGGAGCAAAATGACGATGAAATGTCGTAAATATGGAAATGAAGACTAAATGTGAAAAGCATTGAGCGAAGAATTAATTGGAGCTATTTTCAGGGCCGCGTGGTAGAATGCGTCCATTGTGGATGCCGAGGATGTTCAGGGTGATTAAACTCAGATAAGTAATATCTATGTTTATGGATTATATATTACACATTTTAAGAAAAGAAAAAGCAAACTGTTCCAGCTACGGTTATGTGTGCAGGTGAAATTATTTACAATCAGTTATAAATTAAGAAGTGTTATACATCTTTAAAGAAGTTTTTCTGACGAACTGCACTATCCTTCTACACATTTCATGATTATGATTTATTCAGCACCGTGATAGTTTCCTTGATGAATGTGATTTTATGTTTCATTTTATAAATCTATGAAACTTTTTACTGGAGAAGTTTTCAACTCAGAGAATCCTTTTATCGGCTTTCCACGGGTTATGTGCGAAGTTACATATGTTTTGAAGATGTATGGGAAAGATACCATTATGTTTAGAAAACACAGCTGAATTTAAATGAAAGAAATGGAGGAAAGAGGTTCATCAAGCAAAATGGAATCGTTCATCCTGAAAAATGAAATTTTTTTCAAGAAAACCAAAAACGATTTGTAATATTAGCAATCGCATAAACTTTTCATGTAATTGCTGCTTGAACTAAAACCGGTCATAAGTGATCTTTTTCATGAAAGGAAAAGCTTTAACTGTAAGACTATCGCTTATTTATCGCAAAATGAAATTTATTGTCATACGTTATGTACTTGCTGGAAACTAATTTTTTGATCCAATATTTGTTTATACAGAATAGAATGAAAACTAATAATTATTAATTACTGAACATCGAGATATATATATATAGATCACTGCTCCTACGGGATTTATTAATATCAGGGAAAGAGATGAAAGTCATCCCGTAAAAGCCAAATCATCGACATATTTATCCTTGATGTCCTTCCATAACTTCCCTTTATTGTACTGAAAAGTAAATTCCACAGCAGCGATTAGATTATTCATAGAAATTGCCATACATAACGAAAGATAAGAACCACTGAACAAAAATATGCGCTGTGAAGACTTATGAAGTTTTATATACCGTATTACAAAAACTTACTCTCTCCGTTTTTAAATTCCCTAAATAATATGATATTGGTTGTAATTGATAAATTGAAATGACTGATAAAAAATTACCTGATCAAAGAGGTAATCACCACCCTTATCAACGATCAAATCTGTTGAAATTGCTCCAACAGTTAGTGCCACGAAAAGTGTTGAAAAACGTTTGGTAATAAATCTATACGCATAAGTAGCGAGACCCATTATGTAACCTTGAAATAAACATTTACAAATCTTTTCATATGAAAATTCACTCCGTGAAATACGACTTATGACAATTAACAATTTTAAAAGAAAAACTATAAATTAAGGACATTAAAATACAAACTGAAAAAAGGATATAACATCTCTGGATATCACGTTGAGAAAATGTAAAGTCAAGTGATGGCGCTGTACCTAAGTTGAGGGAAAGAGACACAGAAAGTTCAAAGAGGCTAAACGAGCAATTTACAGTTTATCGACTACGGCAAAAAAGGAATACTTGTCAACGGAATACTCGATATATTACCAAAGAATACAGCATTTGAATATCCTTAGAATAAACTGAATAGAAAACAATGAAATGAGTGCAGAAAACGAAATTTTGGAAAGTGTCCCATCAATTTGACTCTTTCAGAAAATTTCTGCAAGCTTCATTACAAATTCTGGGAATTTATTTTAAATTAATTGTAAAACTTTAAGCTAATGCTACGCCATTCTTGAATGCTATGAAATGTTCCATCATGCACTAAACTTATACCTCACTGATTTTTTTTTGGTTCTATATACCGAGAAATAAAAATTGAAAAGGATATATAAGTTCGATAACAGTTATGCAGCATTTATCCATTCATATTTCACTTGGCATGTAATCATTCATATTGCATTTTATATTTTCACACTCTAAATATACATATCCATAACGAACATCCTAAAATCTTCCACACAGAAAATAGCATATCGCAGTAAACGGTATTTTCATTCCTCTTCCAGAATAAGCAGACAAGATAGTACACTTAATCATTACAATAATATCGCTTTTCTAGACGCCGAACAATTGAATCATGAAGATTTATCCGTTGATTCAAAGTGTATGCGTTAGCATACATGCAATTTTATACATGCAAAAAAGCAGAAATTACTGATTTCCAAAAAAAAAAAACCAAACCCTAACAACAGATATTTCGAAAATGGAAAAAAAGTCACAATAAAATTTGGATTTGAGAACAATGAAGCGAGGAATATACTTATAAAACTTCTACACATACCGAATTTAGCATGCCGCAATCCAAAGCAGTCAATAATCACAGCATGAGATTTTAACGGACCGAGACGGTCCGTTAAAATTACAGTTTGGGAATAGTAGAAATAGAGTGGGCAATGACTATCGCTGTAGAAGGCGGGGAAAGCGGGGGAGGTGTGAGGTGTTTGAAGTTCCTTGGGTAGGATTGGATAATGTAATGTGATGGTATTTTATATGTTTTTATGATGTACATCAATTTATGATATGCAAAATAATCGATAATCGATAAGATGTCATAACTTTCATAACTTTTGTCAGAGTAATTGAGATTTGATTGATATTGGGTTATTCTTTGTAAATATGAAAAAAGTATTTTTGGTCATTTTTATGGAAATTTGATGTTTGGAACATTTTTACGTAGTTTTACTGAGAATCATTATTTGCTTATGTCTGAAAATTTGAAAATAGAATTGCCAGACAACAGAAAAAAATGTTATTAATGATAAAGAAATAGATTTTGGTCAATCCTTACAAGTACATTTTATGTTACATTTACTTTGCGCTATATATTATTCTAACTTTGATTAAGGTATTTTACAAATATATTTCTAAATAAGTAATCGTTGGTTATTTTTAAGAGGAAATCTCGATTGAAAACGAAATTATCTAGTAACGAGGAATGTATTGTTAATGAAATTTCAGATACACATCACTAGAAATGGTGAACCCAAAAGGTATTCGACGTGGTACACGTTATATGTTTGCTAAAGCATTTCGAAAACATGGGGTGGAGCCGTTGTCGACATTTTATCGGACTTATAGGCGTGGTGACATCGTTGACATTAAAGGAAACGGTGCCTTTCAGAAGGGTATGCCTTTTAAGGCATATCATGGACGAACTGGACGTGTTTTTAATGTCACCAAACACGCTGTTGGAGTTTTGGTCAACAAACGTGTTAGGTCACTTTCTGTGTTTCTGTCTAATTTCAGGATATTCTATGTTTCCTGACTCTAAACATCGTCTGTAGTTACTAACGATACTAGTCGAAAATATTGTGTCATACCTTAATGGTATGATTTTTCCTGCCTTATCATAAAGAACAGTCGAAAAGGACCGAAAAATTTTAGCACAGAAAGGATTGATTCAATTTGAAATACTGAGAAAGATTGCTAACTTTAAAAAATATAACGTATTTCTTCTGCTTTTCTTCATTAAAATTCACAATTTTTTTGTAGGAATCGCATTATACAAAAGCGTATCAATGTCCGTATTGAACATGTGAGACCGTCGAAATGTCGTCAAGATTTCTTAAACCGAGTTAAGGAAAATGAGGAAAAGAAGAAACTCGCACGAGAAACTGGTCAAATGTTTCCCATCAGAAGAATGGTTAGTGATTTTCGTTTTTTTTATTTTAAATTCAAGATGAGGTTTGAAAAGAGAAGAAGTAATTTTGACGAAATCTTAATTTGGGGTGACCAAAAGAAGCTTAGCTGGAGGACAAGGAGTAGATATATAAAAATGCGTTGTTTGTATCGTTATTTTTTCGATGCATTATATGTTTTTTATCTCTTTATGTATGCTCTATGTTAAGAATTTCTATATTAAATAATGTTTTGTTTTTTGCAAGTTTTCATGTTTTTTAAAAGTATTATCGGTTTTGACTGTATCTGATTATATCTTTAAGTACATTCTTTGTCATCTTTTCCACCGTCTCTAATCATGTAAATAAGTAATTTGATCGATTTCAGCCAGCAGAACCGAGGAAGGCTCACTTAGTCAAAACACGTTCCAATAAACCGCAGCTGCTTTGTCCAGTCAGATTTGAAATTATTGCCTGAATAATCAGTCATCTTTTCGTGTTTGTTATATTGGCATTGGAATAAATCATTTTGTTATTTTTTCTTTCTTGTCAAACAGTGTGAGTTATTTGCGTATGAGTTCGCACTTGTATTCATATAATCAGGAAGAGCTAAATTGTAAGCTTCGGTTTCATGCTATAAGCTTAGATAATGTTTAAATAAAGGAAGAAATTTGTCGAGGGCAAGATTAACTTTGGTATGTTTGTACAGAGATTTACTTTGTTTTACAATGCATAAGATTGATAGAAAACGATATGATGAATTTTGTTCTGCTTGCTTGATTCATGATCAGGCCTTACCTCACCTTTTTTTACGAAAATTGGTAGTTGATGAGATTTAACGTATCACATTGCATGGAGAAGCGGAGATTTAAAAAACTGAACTGGTACAATAAACTTCATGAGGTTATCAAATAATTTTCTTTAACCCAGATTTCGGGAATGCCTATTTTATTTTAATTAATTCAATAAATTTGTTTGTATTTCCTGGATAATTTTTAATCACTACTGATCTCGTTGCTTTCATCTTCCGATCGTGTGCTCTTTGTTAAAAGTAGGGTTTGATGCCGAACTAGTTTTCAAAGCCAGGAAATATAGCAATGGGTGATCGTAATGTGGAGAAACTGATACGGAAATATATCGATAAACGGGATGACAAGCTTGTTGATATTGTGGAACGATGCTTGCGAAAAGGTTATGATTATGAGAAAATGAGGGATCGTGTCAGCGATTATGTTCGAGATTCAACCGCACGAAAGCGTTTAATTGATGCGCTTTCTGATGCATTTCCGCAGTTTGCCCGAAGACGAAAACATCGGGTATGTATGTTTATTACTTTATTCTTTGATATTGTTTTACAGATCGAGATAAATTCAGATTCTAAGCGACATCTTTGTTTTTTGATCAGTTTTTGTTGTCTGACGTTTTACTTTCGAAACCCAAACAGTTTTAATGTTTACTGGTCTTTTGCTTCATGCTCTTAAGATATGCATTTGAATTTTGGTGATTACAGAATTTGTTACCTCTGTGATAAGTTGAAAATTTTGGATTATTAATCAGTAGTTGATCTTTACAATACACATATGAGTTCGCAGTTTTTGAAGTTGTCCAATGGGTATTTAGTTGTCTTCTTATACTCTCGCAAAGCTTAATCTCATACATCATGCCACTGCATACATAACATACATATCAACATTGCTCAACTTCTTGTCATTTTTCAACCAGTTCAAAGAGTTCGAATTACCCTTTCTTTTATTGCAGCATGATTTTGACCATTCGAAATCAAAAGAATTTTCATTGCTAATTCTCAAAACGATGAAATTTTAAAGTTTTAGTTCGAAGAAACGAAGGATGGTAAAGAAGATGGGTCACAAAAGAAGTTTAAACTTGAAGAACGATCGGATTCTACTCCAACACGAACTACTCCAGCCATCACTAAACCGATATTGTCAACTCTTATCAAAACAGAGCCGAAGAAATCAGATGAAGTTACGGAAGAAGTAGGTTTTATATGAAGAAATTGATTTCAAAAGTTGAAAAAACTACACAGAAAATACTTAATCGATATTTGTTTCACAAATGCTCGTGATAACGCTGTGAAGAAATGGGCTCTAAATATTTTTGCTTAACTCTTTTTGGTTATTTATGACTAGTTTTCGTTTATAATGAAAGGTCCAATGAAACCAAAACACAATGATTGACATAGACATATATTCTAATTCGATCTTTTTGTTTGTTATGCTGTGAAAATTTCTCGTAAGCTGAATTTTGTTGCATGCTTGTTTTCGAAATGAACGGTACCGTAAGTGGCCTGAATTTCAGGAGCTCAAAAGTAAGGAATTAATGTATCAAGCTCAAATGGCAATTGAGGAGCGAAAGCGGCAGTTGAATCTTACGGCAAGGCCTGGCATCGTGGCGCAAGCTGTAATTTCGAAGGCATCAAAATTGAATACGAAAGAAGCTAGCATGTTTATGAATTACTCGATGGAGAAAATCAATAGGTTCCGCAGTTTTTTTTTCGCAATTCTTTTTTATTTTCTTTTATAGAAATTTAAAATTGTGAGGGAATCCTAATTCTTAAGTATATTTCCAGGGTCAAAGAACTGAAAGAAAAATTAGCACAGCGGACGGCAACAGTTGCACAGCTTGTCGAAAAGGATGCAGGTAATGGAGCACTTTCAAAAGCAAAACCAGCCGATGAACCGGAGCAAAAAATTGTCGAGTATCTAGATCCACGTATTAGGTCAATATTTAATATTTTATTAATAAAATATTTATATTTTATTATGAACTTGTAACTAATTTGTCCCAGAAGTGAAACTATATCAACGGATTAATTAGACATAAGTTCTAGTCGTTGGATTCATTTCTAATGCGCTCATAGTTGAGTCTAATTTTGTTTTTAGTTTAAAATCTGCTCAGCGAAAGCAGCGTGCAATTGTTTTCCATGATAAAGGCGAATTTGAGAAATTAGCGCAACGTGAGCGAGCCAAAGCGCGTTTAGCAATTTTACAAGCAGAAATCACGCAAATAGCCAAGAAAACAGGAATGTCCTCGTCAGTAAAACTGGCTATGCTAACTCCTTCATCATCTGCCGTATGTTAATAACATTACTTGTTAAACAATCTTCCTTGAAGCAAGAAAAGAATAGCGAAAAATGATTCATTATCCTTCTTGAATGTAATAATCAAAACGATTGGCACAACTCTTGTGGCGTTCAAGCTTGGCTATTTAAATTTTCAGGTCAGCGACATTCCACTCGTAGAATGGTGGGACGAAGTCGTATTAGGTGGTAATTATGACATGATACCTGATGAAAATATTGATTCCGACAGTAAGTATGTGAAAACAATTACAAATCTCGTGGAGCATCCTATCCAGCTCAAACCCCCTGATGAGCCTCTTCAACCGCAGTATCTGAAGGCAAGTTTTTACTGTTCGTTATGAATGAAATATTTTTCTTATAAATTCTCTTTTTCTTGTAATTTTATTTATATTAAAATTTTTTTTATTTTATTCAAGGTTTATTTGACAAGTCGAGAACGAAAAAAAATCCGACGACAGAACAGAAAAGAAGCACAAAAAGAACAGACAGAGAAAATAAGGTTTGTTTTTAAAAATCTTTGTTTTTCCAAGAACTGTTGATGTCTTGTTTTATTTCAGATTTTGATAAATGATTCTTTTTTCTTACGAAAGAATTTTCAAAACAGACATTTTTTTTTCAGGTTAGGTTTAATCAAAGCTCCAGAACCGAAAGTTAAATTATCAAATTTGATGAGGGTACTGGGTTCAGATGCCGTCCAGGATCCGACTAAAATTGAAGCTCATGTGCGTAAACAAATGGCTGAAAGACAGCGTAAGCATGAAGCAGCAAATCAGCAAAGAAAGCTCACTAAAGAGCAGCGATCGGAAAAGAAAATCCGAAAAATTAAGGAAGACATTTCGCTGGCTGTTCATATGGCAGTTTATAAGTGAGTTTCTAATTAGTTGAAATTCCATTTAATTGTAATTAGAAACACTAACCTTTAGGAGCTGGAATTTCTTACTCGAAGAATTAAAGTTTATTTTTACGAATTCAATAATTAAGTTAAACATTGTGAGGATAGTGTGGTTATCTGTTAAAATCTTACTATAGGCAGGAAGTAAGGAATAAATAGTTCTATCGTTTCAGGGTTAAATCTTTGGCTCATCCTGCAAAGAAGTTTAAAGTTGAAATGAATGCTAAACAACTGCATATGACGGGTTTGATTCTGCTGCACAGTAATATCAATCTTGTAATTGTTGAAGGCGGTGCGTTTGAAATTCATTGAATTATGTATATATTACATTCGCAGATACATAATGAATGTATATATTACATTCATTATGTATATATTACATTTGTATCTTAATTTTATTAAAGAGGGGAGATTTGCTGCTTTTTTATTTCAGGACCAAAACAACAAAAAGCATTCAAGAATTTGATGTTAAATCGGATCAAATGGGGAGATGAAATCATTGGCCAAAAAAAAGAAGCTGAAAACAAAGATACACCTGGAGAAAGAAATGATTGTTCCCTGGTTGGTAAAGTTTTCACTAAGTATGAAAATTATATGAGTTCGAAACGTGGAATGAAACTTAATAAATCAAAGAAAATTATTCAGCCTTGAATTATTGAGTAAAACAGTAAAAATAGCACTCTTTAAACTTCTTTATGATTTTCTCAGCAACTGGATTAAATTTTTACATAGATCGTGAGTCAGTTTTCTATCTGTTTATAGGCTTTTAATTTTCTTCATGAGAGATATCGCTTTAAATAGCCAATGAAATACCTTGATAGGCTGCATTCAGATATTGCAAATAATAAATAAAGTAGACGTATAGTGAACACTTTTATTTATTTTTTGAGTTTTGAATTTTTAGATTTGGGAAGGTATCCAGAAACGACGAAATTTTGGTGAAGTGAAATGTATGGTTGCAACACTGGAGAAGCAAGCAAGGGAAATTTTGGAAAAATATGGAGCGGCACATTTTTGGGATCTCGCTTACAGCACTTCACTTTTGGCTGATGAAGCCAGTGCCTAAGTCCTATGATTTATGCAAATTGTTGATGGTTACAAATTACATAGTTTAAATTTCAAGTATATCTGTAAGAGGAGAAGCCCAGGGAGGTTGAATCATTGCTTCGATTTGTTTTAAGATCGCAAGGTTTAAAAGATGTTTTCTTTGTTCCTATGTAAAAATAAGCATTATATAAATCAATCTACTCAGTTTTTTTTCCTGTGTATTAAAATCAGCTTATTTTTCTCTTTTTTTGTATTTAGCGTTTAAGAAGTTTGTTAGGTTCAGATTGTCATAGCCTGATAAAAAATTGCAGCTCGTAAATTATCATCTATATTAAAAATGGTTGTTTATGTAAACTTTGATCGAATAGTAAATTATTCTGTGAATTTTCTATATATCGCATGTGTTATGCACTTTTTTTATTACTTTTATCCTTTTATTTCTGAAAAATTCATGAAAACAATTTATGTCGAACGTTCCAATTTACATCTCAGAGATTCTTTGTTCTATAATAGAACATTTACTCTGTCTAACATTTTCAAACGGTTTTTAAATAAATAATTTAGTTCAGTTTTTCTTTGCACAGATTTTTGCCTATGGTAGTCGATGAATTGTTCTGTTTTCTCTGCTTGAACTTTTAATTGTGTTCCATGAGGGATGATGCATAGACGATGATTGAGGCAAAAATGGAAAATCCTTAATGGTTGGTGAACTATGACCCTCCAACATATCTTCTTTTTCCAGGGTAGAATAACATTTCTGTGTATAATTCATCAATTTAAAAATTCCATAAGTATTAATGTTAATAACTTATTTCGAAGTTCCAATTAACCTCAGTAATTGAGGAAGTAGGTGAGGGAAGACTAAATTATAAATTAAATTGTCATATCCTAAGTTAGGATTTCACTCAGAATTCTTTATTATGTTTAAAGAACGACATTCCGTCTAATGTAGTTATGAAAAATACTTGTTCGCCAGAATTCTTTAAAATTTTAGATGGCGATAAAAGGTGAAATTGACATGACAGATGCGTTGCATGAGAAAGTGGAACAAATGAATGCTGAGGTTGAGAGGATGAGTAAAGTGCTTCAGGCAAAGGAAGCTGTTTTAGAGAATGTGCTTTGCGCCATAAATCAACTTCCGATACATCCAGTCAATACGATTTTGATTCGAGTAAACGTTTTTGTTTTTGGATAGATGTGAATAAGGCGTTTGTATTGATTAGTTCAATTTACAGACGAGGTTCATTTAAGATAACGGAGGTCTCATTTCCTTGACGTACAAATATATGTAACTAAATTTGACAAAAAGTATCCTTTATCAGATTGTGTTGAAATCCGGGCTTATCATTTGAATTAGACTCGATATTTTTATCAAAATTGCACTCAAAGTAATTGGAATTTCAACCAAAAATGCTTTTACTACAGATTTCTTTCCTTTCAGAATATTTTGAGATCAGAGGTGAAGCAGTCAGAAAATTGTAATTTAAGTGGTTTCAAATGTTACGTTGTTTGGAGTGCATTATTCCTAGAGAATATTTGCATAGCGATTAAAGTGGAAAATGACACACACCATATTGTGTTAGGTTTTTTTTCATCTTTAATCTAAAATATCTATTGATTAACTTTCCAACGAGGTTATTGATTCCGGTAAATCTCAAGAAGAAAACAGAGTTAATTCGATAGAGGTTTCGTTGTACTTCGAACTTCTCCTGTACCTTTCATCTAGTGGAAGTTTGGAAAAAGTTTTATTTGAAATTATAGTTAGGAACTTTTTTTTTTTTTTTTTGGCGAATATTTTTAAGTATTTATTCACAGGTTCCAATGGATAATAATACAATTAACTGCTTCCATACTTTGTTCATTATATGACTATTTTGGAAGGAACTTTTAAATTTGAAATTTTAACATTATTAAGTGATATGGCCATTTCAGATTTGAAATTTCCCGTATTTATCATCATTTATTTTTGTTAAATCTTAGCGAAATTTGGAGAATTAATGAAATTTCATTTTTTCTGGACTTTCATTTAGATTACCCGTATGTGCTGCTATGTGTAATTGTGATATGTCAGATACAACGACTGTCATTTTCGATGATTTACTAACAACTCAATATATTCCGTAAGTATATTTCAAAACTTTGTTTTAACAATAAAAGGAGTAAAATTATTTATGTAGTTGCGTGGTAGGATGAAAGTTTAATTATTCTAATATTCAACATAAGTTTTGAAGAAAACACATTAGTGCGAAGTGCTCATTAAACACACTTGCAAAAAATATGTTCATGCTAACTTGTGTTAGGACATGTAGTTATGTGAAACAGTTCGTAATGATTTTAGAGTCTCACTCTGAGAAGTTTAATAAATTTTATCAAAAAAAACTGTTTATATTTGCAGCCGAATAATTCATGACTTTCAGGCACGAGAAATTCTTGTTTCTTGTCATTTCATGTTAAATAAATAAGTGTAAACCTCTAATATTTAAATGGATACTATTAAATTTTTCATAATAAATCTTTTAGAACTCCTGAAATTGAGTGTAGATTGAGTAATTGAACACGTAAGACAATTTTTGCATAATTTCAGGCCTGAAAGTAAACGAACATTATTGGTTAGTTTTCGAAAAGGACTTTTGCTTAGTAAGCAAGTAATACTGGTACTAGATTGTGATTTTGTAACTGTATCAAATCCATACTCGGACTTGGACATATTATCGTTCCTTCCATCAAGCATTCACAGCAGGCAAACGCAGATTATAAATATTCTTGATCTTGACGAGTCATTAAAAAAGTACTCATTGTCTGAAATCGATGATCTATCTTTAAAAGGTTTTCTTTATTTATTCTGAAAATATTGAGATGTTTGTAAGTTTCAGAGCTAAAATTTTTATTTTTTTATAGAATAGCTATTATTTTTAGTATAAATTATAAACATTTCATTTGAATTTATCATCTCTTTTGAGGCACATTGATAATGCTATAATAGAATTATCTTTCATATAGTTATTAAATAAAGATAATTTGTCTTTTCAAATTCAATTCTATTTTTATCAAATTAATCATTATTTTTTGAATATGTTTGATTTGTTTTCATTGTTGTTTAGAATTTATTTTATTCTTGATTAAATTTCAGAAGGGTTGAAATTATATCAATGTCTTTATGCTTGTCACTTCTCTAAATTGCTCAGTATTACGTCAGCATATTTGCGCACTGTTCTTCGTAACATCGGGAAATTTAGAGAAATAGATTTTGGTGATTGGCAACTTTTTATCGGTGAAACAGATACAATATGGAATAATTTTATAATTTATGCAAATTCATTATTTACGGAAGGCCTGTCATCTCAGTGCCGACTTTTCTCGAAGTGATTTCTCTTTAATTGAAAAAAGAATGTTATTCATCAATTTTGAAGATTTTAAATATATTAAAATTAATGTATGTAAAATTGCATTGGGAAATTCATGTTGAGTAATATGAATTAGACTGATTCGAAATTGATTTTTAGTTTAAAATCTGATAAATAAACTATGTGAAGTGTCTTAAAGATAGTTAAACTTGACCACTGCAAGTAAGCTGAATGCTGTGTTCTTTTATTTAACTATATTCACTTTTAAGCTTTTATACCATGCTTCCTTAATTTGCAGGAATGAATGTGATATGCATCTATTGATAAAAATTCTGGACGAAAGCAACATGAGTTATGAGATGACGTGACACTGATGAACATAAACGTTATCATCAAGCAGATTATAAGTTTGTTTAAAATGAACATTGGATTTAATTTCTTACCTCACTGTTCTAATATTTTTTTTGTGATATAGATTAAAATCGAATTTGGAATTATAAATCAACTGTTAAAGAGTTTGTTCTGATCTTTCAAAAATTTCATGGTCAAAATTTGCAGCAATATCATTCGCATACATTCCATTTACCGTTGTTTGTTTTTCTTTTCTTTTGAAGATATCTTGCTAGAATAGAAAATACATCACTGCGCCATAGAAAGTTTAGAATATGTCGTCACTGTAAAACCCTTTCATCGGATCTATCTAAGGACAAATAAAATAACTGTATCTTTTCCTTCCCATTCAATACAAAAATCAACTAACTTATCATTTTGTTTTAAAAATCATTACTTCAATAGTAACAAAGTCTTAGAATAATAAATTAATGAACATTCAAAGTTTTAGTCCAGAGCTAGAATTTCTTAAATTCTGAGCTGTAAAAAATGTTATGTTGCTTGGGAATGCCGAAGTTTGATGAGTATGAAAAATAGTAATCATCGATACAGTTATCATTGGACACATAAAATAGTAAATATGTTTTAAATCAAATTGCTTTTATGTGTATTAGTAAACTTGCTATAAAAGTTTTTTATTAAAAATTATGTGAACACGTATTATATAATTTGATCTCAATTATTGAATTTATTCTTTTATCATGGCAATTAAGAGATTAAAAAAAAAGAGTACTATGTAGGAAGTAGTGACAATAGCACAGCGACGAGATTGTATGTAAAAGGGGCGAATAATTCTTTCACTAAAAAAGATTGTCAAAATTTAAACTAATTTGCTTGAAAATCTTTTTTTTTTTAACCGTTTTTTGCATAAATTCTCAGTACCAACAGATTTTTGAGGTTTAACACTGCTTTAAACATTATTGATTAAACAGATTACTGAGTTCCGAATGACTGAAGTAAAAAGTGACTATGGAAAAGTCTTATTAAAAAATCGATTTTAATATTTTTTAGCTATAAGTACTATAATGTATGTGGAAAACTGTTTTCCGAGGATATGTCGATGAGATCAGTTTTCGGATGAAATGATCTGGCACAGCGGATGTGGTTGTATATGCTTAACATTCTATATGGCCTAATTCCGGATCTCATGGCTAAAATGACTTCTGCTTCTGCTCTCATTTCAACGGATGAAATTTTAATAAAACTGAATTACGTTTGACGATGAAAAATAGATTTCAAAGATCTCGGACAATTACCAAAACATTCTGAAAAGGTGCAGAAAAAATGCCTTTTTCTATTGCTAACAAATTTCTGTGAAAATGGCTTTTCCCAATCATAGAAATTCACGTCAAAGAGATCACCTATTATAAATTTTAAAGTAGGCTATAATTAGGTGCAATAGATATTGATTTTTTGGCAAATAATTTTGAATTTCTACTCTAAATCATTCCTAAAACAAAAAGACTTCCAACAAGTCGATCTAAATTTTGATACTTTTTTCTATTTTCAACCTTAAAAATCTAAATTTTAATAGTAATTAATTGGAATTTTAACAATTTTAAACTTTTGATTTTTTAATGCTTCATTGTTTTTTGGTGATGACTAATGTTAGATTCTTATAGTATGCATTTCGAATGATTCATTCTATTTCAAATTAAATGAATTGTTGACAATTTTGAACTTGCTGCTGGTTATAATCGCATTTGTATAAAATATAGTTTTCAAATGTAACTAACAAAAAATTTTAGAGTGTTATAATGTTAAAATTATTATGCAAAAAGATTAGCATTCTATGATTTCTGTATCTGATCATAGATTGCACGGTTTGCCGGTTTGTATAAAAATGGTCTTCTCTCTCAATGTGGCAAATGTTGCTTCGTTAAGGTTGTTTGGGTATATTGCAACAATTTCGATTTATACATTTTAGGGAACATTTTTTAGGATGGTTGAATGTACTGTAACAATCTCAATTTACACATTTTGGGGGATATTTTTTGAAAATTTTTACTTTTTGCAGGATTTCACACTTCGCCATTTTAAGCAATTCTCGATTATGGCACTGACATATTATTTCGCAATGGTTATGTTTGCCATTGTGTATGGCGCAAATAACAGCATATGAATATGACATTGCTCTCAGAATTAAATTTCGTTGCAGAGATTAAATTTTCCATTTTAGCTAGGGACAAAAGAGCTTCCTGTGAACGAAATTGAATTTTTTATATTTCGTCTATTTTCCTGTTACTTTCAAAATTGTCAGTGTTTTTCGATCACATCCCGCAGTAAAAACCACAGTGAAAGACTAAAAAATTTGCATTTGCTCAGGAAAATAATCATCAAATCTGTAAACAAATCATTTTGGGCTATTTCAGGTATCAGATGAAGGGAATCTGCCAATGAAAGAATTAAGAAATAGCCATGGAATAACGACCATGGCTAATGATATCAAAGCCAGAAAAAAGCAATTCAAATGTTGCGTATGTGATAGGGAATTAGGAAGTGCAGGCAGTTTGTATAACCATAAGAAAATACATATCGATGAAAAACACAAATGTGATTTATGCAATAAAGTATTCACTCTGCGTTGCAATTTGGAAAGACACAAACGGACGACGCATACGAACGAACGACAATCATTTGAATGTGATGAATGCCATAAAAAATTCACTCGAAAATTTGATTTAAAAATGCACGAACGGAGGCACACGAAAGTACAACCATTCGAATATGATGAATACCATAAAAAATTCACTCGAAAAGATTATTTGTACCGACACGTGTTGACGCAACATCCACCAGTGAAGTCCTCAACGACAACAGCGAATGATATCTCCGCCGCGAAGAAATTAATAAAGAAAATAATTTCATTCGCAGCTTATTGTTCGTAATGGCTTAAATTATATTTGTATTGCTTTTTTACCGTTTATGCTTTGCTTACTATTTCCTTATTGAATGTCAAAAGTTATTGACGAAATTGACTGGAAAGTTTTGATTATAATTCGATAGAACTTCAAACTGCGTTAGTTCCTTTACATAAATTATCATATGTTATTTTAATCCGCCATGCCAATATTCAATACATTATCAATTTTCATTAATCGATCACCGTAATTTGCCACTGCAACTCTTCCATTGAAAATTAGTTTTCAGTAATTTGCAAAATTGTTTACTCTTCGCTCTACAATTCAAATTTATTTTTGTAATTCTCCAAAATGTACGAACTTATGAATTCTTTTGGAAAGACTGTTTTGAGATTTCTGAACAATAACTATTTGTTTTGGTCCAATGTTTTATTCTGAATCATTTCACCATCTTTTTTCTCTTTTTTTTCACTTGTTGTCGTCAACGATACGGCTAATATTTCGCTAAAATATGAACACTTTCCATTATTTATGCGATAAATCTTTATTCGAAGTCAAACCGATACTACCATTCCTAAACACAGCCTTGCATTTTTGTTCATGTTTTAATTTTTGTTACTATTATTAAGAAAGTAATAATTTTCCCATTTCTTGCAACTGCAACGATCTCACTAAAGTTGAAATTCGGAAAATGTATAACAAATGAAAATAACAATATACATTGTACAACAATGATAATAGAGAAACAGATTGAACAGCGTATGACACTGAGATCGCAAAACTTTTATTACAACGAAATCTTTGAACGACTGATTGATATTTTTTGTTACAATAATCTGCTCTTTTCAAATGTTTGCCGGCCACTTCGAGGAGTGAATGAATTTGTACGTCGTATCAAGTTTCTGCAAAATTCATTTTGGTAAGATCAGGTATGAATCAGAATGAGAAAACTGACGAAGTTCCAATTTTCAAATATAATTTATTTTGGGAAAGTTGGCCTCTGACTGCTTTGTTTTTATCTACTCAGCTATTCTTTCAAAAAAAAAAAAAAAAATTTCTTCCAAACCTGCGACTGAGGATATTCAATGAATTTGTGGGAGGGAAGACAAGTGATGAATCAAATGGTTTCGCAAAATCGTATAATCCTTCGTTAAGATCTTTTAAATGTGACGCATAAGAATCGATATTTGTGCACCCTCGTTTCCCTCCAGTTACGGAAAATATTCGACTCGAGTTCACTCCCGCACTGCTATAAACCGAAACATCTTTACTGCTTCCGTAAGCTGCAGTAATTAATAAACCCATCTCCAAGTAGTTTTTCAAGTGAAGCACTTTCTGCCTAGAAATAAAAATTTGTATGATATAAAACCAAATTTGTCACTCTAGCGATTTTCGTACTTGGGAATTAAACCCTGATCATTTTGACAAACGTCGTGAAAATTGGAGAAACTGACCTGAGAGGATCTGTTGAAAATGATGGAGTAAAAATGAGGAGACCATGAGGAAAATTATGGAGCGCAAGCCACAAAGCGACAACTTTATGTTGCATGTCAGGCCTGGCAGTAATATAAATAATGGTGTAGCCCTGAAATGCATTTTGAATTACCAAAAATTAAATGCTTTCAACATAGCTTGTCTGACCTTGAGATACCGACCAACTGATTTCTTTCATTTTATTTTTTATTAAAGTCGATCATTTATTCAGCTTTTAATATTTTTCTGCCCAGTGGTTAAAAGGAAAAAGTGACTAACCAAATCATACCAGTATCGTACCACATCGACAACTCCTGGCCGAACACGCGGATCACGTCCTGTAACCGATACCGAAGCAGTAAGTGATCCATCAATACTAAATACTACGAATTGTTCTCCGGGTGGTGCCACAGCAATATACAAATCCAGAAAAGAATGATCTCCATGCACAATTAATTTCACATAGTGTGTTCCAATCGGTAATCGCTTCTTAAGCTGCAACAAAACATGAACATTGAATTCTTCAACTAAATTTGAAATCATTTTTTCTTCCTACGCGATCGAAGTAATCTCTCGCAGGTTCATGAATCTAACAAAAATATTGCAAATAGGAATTATATACTTTTGATTATTGGTAAGGAAACTTTGAAATTTGAGAAATTCGAATTAAAATAAAAGTAGAATCAGGAGCTGCATGTTTTAAGAATCGATTTCTCTATTCATGCAGAAATTGAAAAAAAAAGTGAGATAAATATTAAAAGTGTTATATAAATAAACCTCAAACGTAATTTTGCCATGGGAATCAGTAATATCTGTTTTAACCAATTGCCAATCACCTCCGGTAGGTCGTATATAAGCAGAAATATTTTCACGGCTTAAAGCGACTAAATCCATCGGTCCATAACAAAATCGTGCATGAATAATTTGCTCAGTTCCTTCCACGCAAATTACGTCATTACCGCTAAAGCACGGTGCTAAATTGGCAATCTGCAAAATCTTCTCCTTCCTTAATATCAACAATTTAAGATTTCAACTATATCGAATTAAATCTGGACTTAGATCAAAACAAAAGTATGAGAAATTTTAGAAGAAATAGCTATGTATCGGAGACAAAATATTTGTACTACCAGCCTTATATTTAGTTCGCTTTTTGTTCCATACTGCGGGGCCAAGCTTAATTTCCGATGGAATTTTTGTAATGTTAGCCAAATTTATTGGACGCACGCCTTCCGAATGCAAAAATCGTCTAAAAACATTACCAATTTTGATAACTATATAAGCACTGATGTTAAACTACTATTTTGATCTTGAGAAAAATTTTTCGAGAACTTTGTATCAAACTGTAATCTTCTCCCCATTGATTCCTAAAAATTTTTGGAAACAAAATTTCCACTTCAAAGTATAGCCATATAATAGTTAACTTCTTCTTTTCCAAATAATATCCATTGGAAATAACAGGAAGATAAACCAATATACAGACTTCTTAATATGAGAAACTTATGGATATCAACTATCACTAACCACAAAATAGTTCGGGAAATTAAGCTGTTGATTGTACACGATTATACACGCCAAATGGATTATTTCCTATTATTTTAAAATGTTCTTCTGAGATCAAAAAATTAAACTGACTTGAGGATAAAAGCAGCTACATCATCACTTTCCCAATAGGAAGCGTGGAGAACACTGGGTAGAGCTGACGAAGATAAAGTAATCATAGCGTGAGGAGAATGTAGTATGTGATCGATACGATGATTACCCCAAAATAATGACGAATCAAGCATACTACAAAGATAAAATCTCTCGAAAAGCTAGCAAATTTTTAAAAAAAAAGAAAAAAAAACGTCATTACTTTACCTTTACTTTACCTTCGTCAAACTAAAAAAAAAAAATAAATCACTGAGAAGATCAAAATTTCGAATTTTTGGAATTAAATCATAAAAGCAGGTGTACCATATATTAGTATATTTGCTGTAGAGGATCATCACAGTATTTATAACCGGCTCTTATACCGAAATATACGTATTAGTTAAAGCTTTAGACAGCTTTCATACAGGTTTTCTTAGATTACCACTTTTGAAAATATTTCAATTATTTACCCATCAGTGTTTTCAACAGCATTGGCTGTATCATTGTAACGAGGCACATTCACAGGTAACAACATTGCAAGTTGAGGATTTAATATTGGTTCAAGCCGGGCACCACATGCATCTATCGAATAGTACATATTGAACAACTGATTACATTCTAGTGGTTCAGTTTCTGCAAGCAAATCAAATAAAAAATTTGGTTTAAATTTTTGGTGAGTTGATTTTTCATGCTTTAATATAAGTATGACATTTTTGTTATTATAAAATGTATGTAATGGAAACAGAAAAACATGTACCATAACCATGAAATTTTCGATGAATCAAAACAAAAGCCAAAGGACAACCGAGAAGGAATGTCATACTTGGACGAAAAGCCAGAGATTCCCACACTTTCTGCAACAAATTTATCTCAATAAAAGTAATAAAATTTGAAATCACCTGCATGTTATCACATATTTCCAGTAAGTTTATTTCTCTCCTAATTTCATTTTTCTATTCTCATTTAGTGTAAAATCGAGCACGAATTTAAAAGAAAAAAGTAATCTGGAAGTTAATAACTTAAAACAAAATCAAAGCAAAACTAATATACGTTTGAAGAAGCTTCTGAATTAGGTGTTGATCGTGAACAATTTCTGAACTTCATGGTCAGCGGTACCGATGAATTTCGTTGTAATTTATTTCCATCTACCATCCATGAATTTTCTCTTGACTATAAACTGCAGAATTATGAAGAGAAATCGACTTTTTAAGAACCTAAGGAAGATTTAAGGCAGCTAGCTACATCCAATCTACTCAACCATAGGATTAGTATTGACAGCGGTATGCCACAGCAAAACTGTTCATATTTCACACTGCAGGATATTCATCGGCAGGTATGACATTAATTTTCTCGCCCTTTTGAAGCTTTCAAAAACGTACGATGGCATAACGCCGTCTCTGTTACACTGCAGCAGGATATAATATTTTCTGATATGATAAAATCTTATTTCTATTAGGTATTAACGAACAATGAATTACTTCTTGTCTATTCTCCTTTACGATGATATGAGATCTGGTAGAAAGACTACTGGAATGTCGAGAAACAATTTGATGCGACTGTTGCATATGGCAGTGATTTCTGGATTGTTTCAAACATTCATGCAACAGTATTCCACCCAAATAATCACCCACAGCAAATATTTCACCATTAAAATTTCGTCCAGCATTGGAATGCATAAATTGATTGTATGCTTCATTAGCTTTTTGTAATGTATTCCGAACAGCCTAAAAACAGTGCTTGATTTTAAAATTAAGTATGCGACTATGTATAAATTAACCATATATTACCGACTTTATTATTAAGCTAAAAATAATTTAAAAGACAAGCTGGTGAGTTAATCGCATTCTCTTATTCAATTATGCTTCAAGTTTTCGGCCATTAAATTATTCGATTTATAAGAAACACTGTGAAAAGAGTATAACGATTTTAATTACCAATAGTTCTAACCAAAATAAAAGAGGCTTGCTTATAAAATGGTTATTCAATGAACTGATAAGTATTATCGTCAAGCAACGGTTTCCTCCATCTACTTTAATATTAGTCTATTTAATAACAAAATGCTGCAGCATTAGAATCCAATTTTCACAACTATTCTTGAAACATCATTCGTGCTAAAAAATAATATAAATGAGCAGCTCGTTATTAAAGTCCTACTTTATTTAATGTTCACAAGATCAAATAAAACTATTATTTTCTACTTCTTCCTTTTTTATCCTATCTATATATCATTTTGCTATTCATTCCACAAACAGTTTTTACCAGCTAGCAATTATCGGGAAAACCAAAATAATTTCATAATGTAAAATATCTATAGTCAAAATGCTGATATATTTGTCAAATCTATGTTATAGAAATTCTTATATCAATTATTCTCAGTCAAATAATAAAATATGCTTGTTATCAAAATTATTGTCGCTTGTCATAAATTCTTATAAATAAATGAGCATTCATTTAATGTACTTTTTGAGTATTGCCATACACTCTTGACCTCATTTAGCTTCACCTTTCAGATGACCAGGCAATTATTATTTATATCAGTTTTTTGTATCAATGATTTTATGACCTCTTTTTTATTACCGTCAATTCCGTTTACAAATGACTTATTACTTATTTCCTATAATCGAATACCGACCAACTCGAAAAGAATTTATTTCAGTGTAATTTATTGCACAGAACGCAGCAGTCTCATCAACTATATTCTTCTGAACTGCGATCTAACCAATTCCTTATTCAAACTTTGAAAGCATTTATTCCAACATAATATTATTGGCAATTTTCCGCGAAGAATAAAGCTTATAATAATAATTGCCCGTGAAAGGACAAACTATATAAACCGAAAAACTTTTACGAGAGAAATCTCTTATATCACGGTAACAGCAAAAATCTCATAACAAAAAAAACATTCCAGTGTTTATACATTATAAAACTAACAAGTGTGTGTGATAACTCGCATTACTCCAAGCACTTAGATAGTTTACTTCTAATACAAATTTTTTTGAGAAAATTACACGTACCTTAAGCAAATGTATGATTATGGTACATATCTTGAGAAATACCGTATTCTTATTAAATCATGCGATCAAGAAACAAACCTCAAAATAATATTGCGATGAAGAAAGAAGTAATGCCAATGATGGATGAACGAGACCATATGTTGGTGTAATTGAGATCAAATGTAAAGCTGTGTCAGCGAATTCCTGACCGCATGATATATGTAAAAAGTGGATGTGTCCTTTCAAATGCTGGTAATCTGCTGAGATCTGCTTTTCTATCGTTAAACGTAAAGAATTCGGATCTGTTACATTCTGATCCGTTGAAACCTGGTAAAAATGAACAGCATAGGTACTATCTTATATTATTCGTAAGGATGGCAACATTTTGGTTATTTCAAAATTGATCTTACAATAATCACGAAATGTAAGAAGCATTATTTAACTATTGGATCGTTTTTTAAGTAATCGGCTATTTTTTGAAACGATATAATCAATGTTTCTTTTTTTGCAGAGATCAACTGCAATGCCAATTGAAATGGCAGAAATGTTTGAACCGTTGAATATGATGCAGTCCCAAATGGTATACTATTACAAAAGAGGACACGACCAGATATTGTAAAATCTTGCAGCCTTAGTCCCAAACTAATTTATTCATGCTTAATTCATGAAGAAACAAGACCATAGATGAAGTTAATTCAAGTGAATGCATAATACTCGTCTAAAACTGCTTTAAATTTAAAATTTCTTTAATTTAATCGAAGAATGTTAAGCAATGTTAAGCAAAGGATAATTAAATTTCTTATATACAAAAATTTTGATTTTGAAATTAATTGACTTTACTAATACTTATGCAAGAATTCGGAGAATCATATTTCATTAACAAATACAAAACCTTTTAAATAGTAAACAGGGTTTCATGAAATTTTTACATACTCTTCAAATTTCATGCATATCTAAGGACTTTGATGAGTACAACCTTAATACGTACAAGGCTGCTCATATTTTGCATTGTCAATTTTTGACAAATAAATATGAGTTATCTACGACTCTGCATAAAACCAAATTTTTAAGATTTACATGTTCAAGTTTATTCACAAGTTAATTTCAGTAAAAAACTTACATCTGCGAAAATATCATCATAGAAGATGATTACAAGTAAAGATGCATCAGATGCGGCATTAGTTGCCACTTTCATATTTTGTCCCATTCGAAAAGATGAGAGTCTTTCATGATCACCAATAAGCGATATCTCCGAACTCCACTTTATCAGCGATTGAGAATTCTCCACGGCTGGAAAACCTTCCACGCAATCGAAATAAACCGAGGAAGAAGCAGAAATAGATGATCGTGCCATTAATTTGGACAAATGTTCCGCTGCCTGAAAGGAAAAGTTTTTATTTGAAAATGTAGACAAAAATTGCTTATGAGTTATTGCTACTTTTCTGCAAATAAATGAACTGTTTCGACTAAATGAGATCTTCCATAAATGTTAACTCCAGAAAGGGGATCCCCTATAAATGCCAACTCCAGAAGAGTAGTATTGATGTCATGACACCAAACTATTCCGTTTAAATCAACTCCCGACAAAATTTTTAATTGATGCTTGAATATTACTCAGGAATTGAGCGATATTTCATTTCTGTTTTCCTCTCCGGGGCACATATTCTCAATATAATAAGTGTTTAATATATGCCTAGGTAAACACACTGATGTAAGAATTCTGATCCAAAACTAAATCCTTGAAAAATGATTATTACATCTCGTTCCAATTCTCGTACATCTCCAAGCGTAAGACCGTGCCATTCATCTTGCCATGCCCACGCTTGTTTGTGTGCCCTTAGCATAGTATTACGTAGAGCATGACTATGTATCCAACGTTCCGCGCGAGTTTGTAAACCCCAAAATCGAAATTCAACCTGAAAAATTCCTTAATATTATAATTCCAAAATTCGTTCCGCAAAATTTTTGTAAAATCCATTTCTTAAAATTTTTGACGTTAACCAAACAAAATTCTATACGTCTCAAACTGTCAAATGAAATTTCGCGTTTTGCTTTGGTTGTTGAAAATAATAATTTCCAGTGCCACAACGCACTTTGCAAAGTTTATAAGCACACATAATAGGTTTTCCATTTTTAATGCAATCCTCAATCCAATCTTCTTTCAGCGGCCCACGACCAGTCTTTATACTATGATATAATTTTGGATCTTCCTCAGGAACATAATCATACGGTGATAACGCATCATTCACAAAATCCATTACATCTACAAATTGAAACTTACATTTGTCAATCTTTTTCTAAACATTTATTGAGAAAAAATGGCAAAAATTTACATCTAAAACTAATTTCATAAATCACTAACATAATCACCTTTTGAGTAGAAATGACTCGAAAATTAGAAAAAGTGTACTGTTTTTCAAAAATTTACCAACAATTCGATTTTTCAATTCATCGCCGGTAAGCTCGAAAACATTTTCTTGATCACCGGCATCATCATAATACTTTGTTTCCACTTCAATGTTAAAGCGGTCCAAAAATGGAGATGAATAACGTGTTTTTGTATGGGGATAAGCATTCCATGCTTCTTCGTGTGCTTCCAATGCATTTGTCGGCAATACACCACGTAACCATACTTCAAAAAAAAATTTGATGAATTGTGTACCAAATCGGTTACTTTTTTATTTAAAAGTTCAAATATCTCCAGAATATCTCGCTTATACTAGAATTTTCTCAGGAAAAAAACAAAAAAACTCTCAAATATTTGAATCAATTTTTAGAAAAACATAGGCGTTTCGTATTTGATCAGCTTTACAGTCATTTTAATGATTTCCCAAAAAGAATCCTATTCCGCTCGAGAAACTGGGTGGAATGTTTGAAAAAAGTTCATTTTACACTTTTTTATTTGCCTCATGCGATCTTTGCTTTTACTCTTTCTAGAGCAAAAACAAAGATTGGATGAGGCAAATAAATCTTTGATCTTACTCGTAATGAAATGTTTACTTAACTGCCAAAATTTAGCATTCATTTATGAGTTTCCACTACTTAATCATCAATTGCTCGATCAATCTGCCAATCTTTTGTTTTTGAAATAAAAGGCTAATTTATTTTTTTGACCCGAAAAAAATGCAAAAAAAATAAAAAATAAAAGAACAAAAAGGAAAGTGCATGAAAATTTTCTTTGACAATATTGCTATCAAAATTTTCATCATTTCTTAATATGATAAAGAGCGAAAGCAAATTAAAAATGACAACAGATAAAAGAAAATCTTTTTATTCCACTAATAAATTAGTTTTAATTCATATTCTTTTTTCGAAAAATTGTTCCGGAGATGTTTTCCATCATTTCTGAAGATCATAAAGGACGAGAGCAAATTAAAAATGACAACCAGAGCAATTAAAAACAAATAAAAGAAAATGAGATAAAAGAAAATCTCTTTATCTTACTAAATCAATTGGTTTAAATGTTTTTTTTTTTGAAAAATTGTTCTGAAGATGCAAGATGAAGCATCGATAAAAGAGAAATTATGAAAGTGTGATATGTCAGCTTTGCTATCAAAGTAATAGGTTTTTCCTTATCGAATAATGTAAGACCCATAGTACCCAGCAATCATCAGTATAATAAGAACTAAACAAGCATTTTTAATATTCACAATTAAAATATTACTATAATACTTTTTCATTGTTTGTGAAATTCATCCATTACTTACGAAACACCTACCGGGAATTTTATTGCCGATATGATAAATTTTAAATGTGTATTGACCGGCTCCACCTGGACCATCGTTA